AAGGGCTGTTCGGAGGGCAGGACTTGAACCCATGGCTTAGAAAGAGATTCCAGCTAAGCAACAGGAAGAGCTTTCTGACAGCCAGATCTGTTTGACCGTGGGATGGAAGGCGGTAGACTCTCCTTCCTTGGAGGTTTTAAAGCAGTGGTTGGACGATGACGACGATATTATTAATCCATCAATCAATTTTGCATATCACCCTACACCCTCAGACCTCAGGGTGGATCACAATATGAGAAACACAAACACCTTAATAACAGATAATACAGTGGTACCTCTGGTTGCGAACGGGATCCGTCCCAGAGCCCCATTCGCAACACGAGCAGAACACAAGCCTCGTCTGTGCGTCCCGCGATTCACCGCTTCTGCACATGACGCCATTTTGAGTGTCTGCGCGTGCACAAGTGGCGAAACCCAGAAGTAACCCTTTCAGGTACTTCCGGTTCACCACGGAACGCAACCTGAAAAGACGTGACCTGAGCCGAACGTAAAAAGAGGTATGACTGTAATGGATGGCCACCTATCGGAAATTCTTTAGCTGAGATGATTGTGTTAAAGGGGGTTGGGCTAGATGACCCCCGGGGGTCCCTTCCAACAACAGTCCTATGATTCTGGGAGGGAGGAGCCTCACAGTGATCTGGTGAGAACAGGGTGGGGTCTTGTTCCCACGCAGAGATCGGGGCATCGTGAAGAGGGGGAGCAGAGCACAACACCCCACACTGGCGCTTGGGTGAAATACAGCTTTGTGACTCTCCCTCTCCCCTTCCCAAGGCAGGCAGGATGAGATTACAAAGAGTTAAGTGCCTTTAAGGTGCTGGTTTTGACCTTTAAAGCCCTTTGTGGCTTAGGGCCCTCGTATTTACGGGACCGCCTCTCCTGGTCTGCCCCGCAGAGGACCTTAAGGTCCATGAATAATCGTAATTTAGAGGTCCCGGGCCCTAAGGAAGTCAGACTATCCTCCACCAGGGCCAGGGCCTTCTCAGTGATGGCTCTGACCTGGTAGAATGCTCTGTCCCATGAGACCAGGGCCCTGCAGGATTTCACTTCCTTCCGCAGGGCCTGTAAGACAGAGCTATTCAACTGGCCTTTAATTTGAATTCAGCCTGATCTTTTATTCCCCTTCCTTCCCTCCCCTTCCCCTTTTTATGAAGATTACCCGCTCTGGGATCCCACAGCTAATTCTCCCCTGGTCTCCTCACTGGCCCGAATAGGAGTAATTCAGCCAGCTAGCCCTGGTGATCATCTAATGTTTATTGGATGGATTTCCCCCCAAATTGATTTTTGAATTCTGAATTTATTGTTCTTCACGTTTTATACCGTATTTTATGCTGTTTTCTGTAGCATCAATTAAGTGTTTTAAATTTGTTGTTAGCCGCCCTGAGCCCAGTTTTCTGAAACAGGAAGGGTGGTGTATAAATAAATATTTATTATTATTATTATTGTTGTTGTTGTTGTTGTTACAGGTGGGGACCCTCCTCACCTCCAGGACGGCGTCGCAGGCCGTGATCTGCGTGTGGAGCGACGCAATGTTCTTGCTCTCCTTGATGTCTGGATGAGGCCACTAAGGAGAAATGCCTGCTGGGAGGAGACAGCCGACGAAAGCCCCCCCCCAACATTTGGGTACACGCCCAAAACTGCGCAGACCCCGCCCCCCGTGCAGAAAGCCAGGCCAACCCAGCTCTGTTCCTGGGCTCTGGTGAGCCTTTTCCACTTTGCACGGGTTCAGCTAGAGGACCTCTGGGTGCCCCGTTCAACCCTTCTGCTTCTGAGGATACAGTCCTTGATGGAGGCGTTCTCGATGTGCTGTAGCTCCAGCTCCACCTGCTTGGAGTAGTGCCTCAGGTCCACCCCCTGCGGGACAGAATGGGGAGGGGTCACCACCTGGGGGGGCACTGTCCCTTCCCCACCTCCCAGCCCTGGCAGACCTCCCCCCTCTCACCGTCTTCAGCGCCTCCTGCACCAGAGCATCTTCCAAGTTGGCCTGGATGTGAACTGGGGGGGGGGGGGAGAGAAAGAACAAGGTCAGGATGGGGGGGGACAGCTGCTCTGCCTCTCCCCCCCAAAAAAATTGATGGGGGAGTGACAGAGCAATCGTGCCAAGACGTAAGGTTTTCCCACTGGTCATGACTCAGAGCAGGGCATGAGCAGGAGGAAAACACCCCCCTTGTTTTCAAGGCAGGTAGCCCCCCCAAAAAAAACCCTGCTGCCCCCAAAATGCTGCTTTATATTTTAAAGGGAAAAAATCTCAACGCTGTTTACAACCCATTAAAACATCAAATGAAACCACCCAGAAAAAAGTCAAGCTCTGAGGGAAATATTTCAGATCCTTCTCAGAGACATTTGCCTTTCCCCGTATTTATCAACTTGCTTAATTCCCACAGCGGAAGGACTCTAGGAAGCCAGTGGGGTGTAGTGGTTAGAGCAGGGGTCAGTGAAGTTTTTCAGTGGGGGGCCGGTCCACTGTCCCTCAGACCTTGTGGGGGGGCGGACTATAATTTGGAGGGTGGGGGAAATGAACGAATTCCTATGCCCCACAAATAACCCAGGGATGCATTTTAAATAAAAGGACACATTCTACTCATGTAAAAACATGCTGATAGAAGGTGATTGTGCCTGATCCAGCCCCCAGGCCTTAGTTTGTCTACCCACGGGATAGAGTGTCAGTTTAGGATCTGGGAAATCAGGGTTCAAATTCCCGCTCAGACATGATGAAGCTCACAGGGTGAGCTGGGAGCCAGTCGTGCAGTCTCTTCACCTACCTCACAGGAGGAGGGGAGTGAACCATGTAAGGCAGAGAAGGTAAAGGAGCCCTGGACAGTTAAGTCAAAGGAGACTATGGGGTTGTGGCGCTCATCTCGCTAGGGAGACGGCGTTTGTCCACAGACAGCTTTCCAGGTCACGTGGCCAGAATGACTAAACCACTTCTGGCGCAACGGGACACCATGACGGAAACCAGAGTGCATGGAAACACCGTTTACCTTCCCGCCACAGCGGTACCTATTTATGTTCTTGCACTGGTGTGCTTTCCAACTGCTAGGTGAGCAGGAGCAGGGACCGAGCAACGGGAGCTCACCCTGTCACGGGGATTCGAACTGCCAACCTTCTGATCAGCAAGCCCAAGGGGATAAGTAGTTTAGAGCACAGCACCACCATGTACTCCTTGGAGAAAAAGGTGGATCCGAAACGCAGTAAATCAGCTCTTCTTCGATACGATACTCTTTATTGTCATTGTCCCATACAGAACAACAAAACTGAAAAATCTACATAAGACATTCAAAAACCAACAAGCCTGCTATCCCAGCCTGGTTAGCCCCCTAAAAACTCTGATACCCCATTTTTAAATACAATATACTCCCATAGAGAGTCCTTACAATGCGTTTAAAACCAAAATTGCATTTGGGTAGAAACTGTTTCTCAGGCGGCTAGTCCTGCTCTTTATAACCCTGGACCTTCTTCCAGAAGGCAGAAGCTGAAAGAGATCATTTCCGGGGTGCGCACTATCCTGCGCTATCTCTGCAGCTTTCTTATGGCACCTGGAAGCATAGATTTGATCCAGATCTGCTGACCTGCTTAAGGAAGGGCTCAGGCAGGTGGAGATGTCAGTCGCCAACCGGGAACCCGGAGATCGCGATTGGACCTGCGCCAGTAACAAAACGCTGATTTTGAACCCTGCTTCCTCTTGAGGAGGAGGTGGAACAGTTTCCCGGCCCTCCCTTGAACAAAGGTCAGTCTCCTAACTGTGCTGCCTGCCTTTGGGGCCCTTCTCAAAGCAAGTAGCTCTGAAGGAGAGGGAAGGAAGAGAACTTACTGTCCACTTCATCCAGGATGAACTCATCTGAGGTCAGGTCTAGCTCGCCAAGGTTCAGCTGCAAGGCCTCCTCGCTCGGACCCTAAAGGGCGCAAGAAAAATGTCGGAATCTGCGTTCGACCGAGTGACCCCTCCTCCGGTCGAGTCCTTCGGAATCGCCTCCGACGATAATTAACGACCTGAGCCTCTGATAAGGCTCCAGGCACATCCCCCATTACACAGAGAATCAAAGCAGCAGAAGTGATGAGATTTATGGCTACATGCTATGCTTTATTACTAAGCTACACAGACAAAAAGAAATACATCCTCTCTCTGTGAGAGCAGAGAGCAACTGAGAAACAAAGGAACAGGAAAACAGTAACATCACATCCGTCTCCTGTCTTCCGTGAGACTTCCAACAGCCTGGAATCCCAGGAATGTAAACAGAGTCCTGTGACTCCAAGAGCACTGCACAGTGGCAAACAGAAACTAACAAAAAGAACCCATCGAGTTCTCACAGTGGCCAACCAGGTGCCCATGATAACAATAATAATAATAATTTTTTTTATTTATACCCCTCCCTCCCCAGCCAAGACCAGGCTCAGGGTAGCTAACAACCAATATAAAAACAAATTGATTGAAATACAACTTAAAAAAACAAGATTAAAATACAACATTAAAACATTAAAATGCAGCCTCATTTCAATGGAAACTCAAATCAAAAACTTTTTTGGGGATGAAAACATCAGGTCTTCACCAAGGCTAACTATCCAGACTGGTCCTACATGGGCCAGAAAAAAGCCAGGGAAAAGGCTGCTTTCAAGGGGCAGATTAGAGGCACCAGAACGCAGCCCAGGAGAGGGAAGTCTGCAATGTCTGATGGTTCATTATGTTTCTGTATATGCTGGAAGCTTCCCCGAGGGCCTGGGGCGACTCAGCTGGATGAGCCCAACAGGTGCAGAGGGGGAAGCCCCACCGCGCATGCGCACTGGCCAAAGGCGAGGGGCTGAGGGGGCGGGGTTAAAGGTCACCAGAACATTCCCCACCCCCAGCCCAAATATTCTTTTCGGGATTGAAGAGGAAAAAATTAAAGAGGGGGAACGAGAGGAGGGTGTCCTTTATTTATGAGACACCGGAAGTCGGGGGCTCAGAGACCGGAAACGGGGGCAGGTCCGTGACCCTCACCGATCCATCCCCCGCCTCTTCCTCGTCCATGTCTCCCGCCCGGAGCTGCTGCTACTCCTGCTGCTGTCGCCGCCGCCGCCGCTGTTCTTCGGGCCCCGCTTCGCCCGGGGCCGCTGCCTTCCTCATCCGGGACTTCCAGGGGAACGGCTTCCGGTTTGTCGACACGAAGAACCACAAGCCCCAGAATGCCCAGCGGCCGCTTTGCGTAAGAGGCCCGATAGGCGACCCCTTCGTCGGCGGAAGCTTCGAAGGGGTTGGGGGGGTCGTGCACCCCTCTTCCTCCTCCCCATAACGCGCCCAAAAGGACGCCTTGTTTCCTGTGGCGAGGAGATAGGCTCTCACGGAACCTTCCACTCCACCTCCTTGTTTCCTACTCGGGCATTGCAGGGCGGAGCACAGCCGACTGGAGGAACTCCTCCCTGGACCATAGATATAGAAAACGAATAGCACGTAATTGCATTTCCCAGCAGAAATGGGGCGGCACCCCACTTTACCCGCTTCACCCCTGACACATTTGTAAATGAGAGGGGTTATCCAAGCCGGACGACCCGATCAACGTCGCTGAGCAAAGGGTTTCCCTTTCACGGCTCTACTTTTCTATCTCTATGGTTCCGGAAGTCGGTCTGCCCTTAGCCCCCACCCCCACCACCGGAAGTCGTTTTCGCTTCGGTGGGAGGGTCTTATATGCAGGCCGCGGCGCCGGCTCTACTTCCTTTTCCGGCCACAGCAGGAGAGAGGAGCAGGCGCCGCAGCCATGGTGGGTCCGAGGGGGGGGGGACCGGGAATCCGCCACCATCCGCCGCGGGGGGAGCGCCGGGAGCGGGACTGGGGGGTTCCGCGGGGAGGGTGCAAAACGGGCTCCGGTTTCGGGGAGCTATTAAGGGCGGGGGGGGGGTCTTCCCGGTGGGCGAAGGAGGGAGTTCCCCAGATTGGCTCCCAAGCATGGAGACGGGCGAAGCGCTGCACCCGGTGAACTCCTGCCTGCGTGGCCGCAGCTGGGAGCTCCGGTGAAGCTGCGAGCCTCACAACGAGCCTGCTAGGCAGACCAGTCGTGTGATGATCAGCCCCCCCCCCATTGGGAAATGGGGGCGAATGGGCCGCTGAGCCTGAGAGGGGGCCTGGCCGAGTTCTGTGGGGGGCTTCCTTGGGGGGCAGCCTCCTGGATCCTGGCAGGCGCTGCCCCTCGAGGAGCCTCAATCGCACAGCCCACTTCAGCTCCCTTCGCTAATAATAATGTTAAATTTTATTTACACCCCGGCCATAGCCGGGCTCAGGGCGGCTAACAGCAATAAAATCACAGTAAAAACATAATGGGAAAAGAGGGGGGACCAATTTAAAATACAGTGGTACCTCAGGTTACATATGCTTCAGGTTACAGACTCCGCTAACCCAGAAATAGTGCTTCAGGTTAAGAACTTTGCTTCAGGATGAGAACAGAAATCGTGCTCCGGCGGCACGGCAGCAGCAGGAGGCCCCATTAGCTAAAGTGGTGCTTCAGGTTAAGAACAGATTCAGGTTAAGTACAGACCTCCAGAACGAATTAAGTACTTAACCTGAGGTACCACTGTACAGGTTAAAAGGCAATTTAAAATGCAGCCTCATTTTAAAGTAGCTGATAAATCAAGACCGTAAGGGGAGGGAAACATAAGGGTCAGACCGAGTCTGAGGGTTTGCTGAGGGCAAACGGGCCTGGCAGGTTCCTAGTCCTCAAGTCGCTCCAGATGCTTTTGGCGACAGCCCTGCGAGGGAGGCGGGAACCGCCATGCTGCGGCTCAACTTTGCAGAGAGGGAGATGGGGGACATTTGTGGGCAGGGGCTTCATCTGGGGTGAAGCCCTCTTGGGGCTCTGGGGCTTACTGGTTGCAAGCTCATACTCTAATAATAACAACAGTAATGATACTTTTATTGTTTATAACCTGCCCATCTGGTTGGGTGGCTCCAGCAACCATCAGGCTAGCCTTCCTCACAGGTGGTGGTGAGGCTGAAACAGTGCAAATCTCTGCGGTCAGAGGCAGCGATGTTTCTGGGAACCGCAGAAGAATTTATTATTATTACTATTACTTCTAGGTTTCCCTTTTGGGCCGCTGGGAGAAGTGGGATTCTGGATTCTGAGGCTGGAAATGGGCAGCTTGTGGCTCATCTCAGCCTCAGTTTCTCCATCTGTGAAATGGAGGCCTGAAATTGTTTACACCTGCAAACATTTATTTCCCCAGCTTCACTTTCTACACACACTCAGTGCGCAGGAAGCCTGGTTTTAAGTCATTCTTAGAGGTCTGGGCCCCCATCTCTGAGCCCTCCAAGCTTTCAGTGTCAGTGGGGAGACTGTTTCTTTTGCAGAGCTGCCAGGATTTGTTGCCCTTTCCAGAGTCTCAATAAATCTTTGCTTCTCTCCTCTTCCCCAAGTCGCTCGTTATCCCCGAGAAGTTCCAGCACATCCTGCGAGTCCTCAACACCAACATCGACGGGCGGCGGAAGATCGCCTTTGCCATCACCGCCATCAAGGTCCGTAATGGGGCAGTTGCTGCGTGTTTCCTCCAGTTAATCGTAGAATTATAGAGTGGGAAGGGACCCCATGGGTCATCTAGTCCAGCCCGCCCCCTGCAATGCCGCTCTCACAGCAGTTGTGACGTTTGAGGCGGCGGCGGGCATTGGGGAACCTGCAATAGTCATGGTGTCCCTTCGCCTTTACTTAACCCCTGTGTAGGAACCAAGTCGCATTTTCAGGGGAAAAGCAGGCCTCTGTGACCGGGGCTGGGTTTGTGGGCCTCCTTTCTCCCTCTCATCAAACTAGCGCAAGGCCGAGCTCTTCCTGCACAAATGCACTCAATGCGTCTGCAAAAAAAATTATTTGCACAGTTGTTCCCTAGCACAGTCTTGAGTAAGCAGATTCGGTTAACTACTTCTGTGCTCTCTGTCGCATCCCTTCATGTGGCCTTTTCTCTGAGTGTCTCTGGTCCTGCTCCCCTGATCCTCCCCTCTCCTTGCTTGCAGGGGGTGGGCAGGCGTTATGCCCACGTGGTGCTGAGGAAGGCGGACATCGACCTGACCAAGAGGGCTGGAGAGCTCACCGAAGATGAGGTGAGAGTGTGGGTGTGTGTCCTTGCAGAAAGCCTGGAGGGTGAAGTTTGCATTGTTGTTGGGATAAATCTTAGTGTCTCCTCTCTCTTTTTGGTACTCCTGTCTCCCGAACCTGAAATATAAAACAGGGTTTTAAATATATGTGTACCTTGATCTTCTTTATTTTACTTAACACAATATGATTGTTATTGTTTACTTGGGTTTTTGTCCGTTGTAGTTATTATACAATTGATCTGATATTTGGGATTGATTCAAACGTAACACGGAACGCATCTGTGACGCTCTTGGCCCTCTCCCTCGCAGGTGGAGCGTGTCATCACTATAATGCAAAACCCTCGTCAGTACAAGATCCCTGACTGGTTCCTGAACAGGCAGAAGGACGTCAAGGACGGGAAGTATAGCCAGGTGAGAGCCAGGGGGACGGCAAGAAGCGAAAGGCCTGCCTCCTCTAAGGAGCAGCTGGTGGGCCGTCAATTTGAAACCTTGCCAAAGAGAAATCCATGGGACAGTGGCGACGGTTGGACTTGAAAAGCTGAGAGGGGAGGAGAGCCTGTTCAGACTGAGAGTTTGACCCACAAACGTTGATAGCGTGGCTACCAGAAGACTGGACAGATTTGTAGTGAAGGCCATTTCCGCACTTCCTCCCTGCTCAGAGGCAATGATCCTCCTGCATGCTATCTGCTAGGAATCTCAGGAGGGAAGAGCTACTCTTCAGCTTGGATCTAGCTTGCGAGATTCCCTTAGTGGGGATCTGGTTAGCTGCTGAGAGTCCAGAAGGGTCCCTTCTGGCCTGGTTCAACCTCAGGGCTCTTCCTAGGTCCTTATGGTTTGTAAAATCTGCAAAAGGGACTCAAGAAGTGGGCATGAAATTGTCTCACGAGTTCAGCAGGGGCTAGGACCAGGCGCGGTTGCCCAGACCTCTTCCTGCACTGAGAGCCAGTGTGGTCTAGTGGTTAAGAGCAGTGGACTCGTACTCTGGTGAACCGGGTTCGCGTCTCCGCTCCTCCACATGCAGCTGCTGGGTGACCTTGGGCCAGTCACACTTCTCTGAAGTCTCTCAGCCCCACTCACCTCACAGAGTGTTTGTTGTGGGGGAGGAAGGGAAAGGAGAATGTTAGCCGCTTGGAGACTCCTGAAGGGGAGTGATAAAGTGGGATATCAAATCCAAACTCTTCTCCCATGCAAGCCCCAAAGGCCATGCTAGGTGGACATCTGCCTCCCGGGCTGGCGGCTGTGTATCCTCTGCCCCATGGATTCAGGGCCTCTGTTCTGAGAAGGGAACTGCCCCATGGCCAACCCTTTTCCTCTGCCCCAACAGGTCTTGGCCAACGGGCTGGACAACAAGCTCCGCGAGGACCTGGAGCGGCTGAAGAAGATCCGGGCGCATCGGGGCCTGCGCCACTTCTGGGGGTGAGTAGCCGAGAGGGAGGGGGCTAGGAAGAGGGTGTCTGTGCGGGTTCAAGCAGCAGCGAGCAGGTGTTGGGGGGCAGAGGGGCGACACTGGGAGCATAAGAAAGCTTCCTGGGTGGCAAATTCCCTGCCTGTTGATATCTGGCAGGCCCCTCATTGGTAGGTTGAGAAATTGGGTCATGAGGGCTGAGCTGGGGGGGGCATGCCTGTCATCTCTCTCCTCCCCCCACCTTGCTGATACCCACACTTTTCTTCTCTCCCCACCCCAGCCTACGTGTCCGTGGCCAGCACACCAAGACCACCGGCCGTCGTGGCAGAACCGTGGGCGTCTCAAAGAAGAAGTAAATCTTTTCCCATGCAGATAATAATAAAAAAGAGTTTTCTCAATGCTCTTGTCTCCTCCTTTGTCTCTGGTGGGGGGGGGCTGGACAGTGGGTTTCCCATCTCTGCACATTTCCTGGCAAAGGAGGGAGGGGGGTCTTGGCTAGCCCAGGGGGCTCAGAGGGCACAGCATCAATGCTCAGGGACAGCGGCAGAATGTACGTGAGCAGGGATCCCTCTTTTGGGGGGAAGATGTTCCAGTAAATAAAATAATTTAAAAACACCTGATTAAAAGCAGCACTGCCAGGGACTGGGAGAATCCCTTACGAGGAAAGTCTAAATAGCTTGGGGAATTTTTAGCCATGAGACGGAAGGATAAAGGTTTATAAGGTCACATGCACCCAATTTAAAGCACTTGGCTGTGCCCAAGGAATCCTGGGAACTGGTTTACCCCTCCTCAGTGTTGCAGTTCCCAGCACCTCAACAAACTGTAGTTCCCAGGGTTCTTTGGAGAGGGGCTGTGTGCTCCAAAATGCATGGGGTGGGTCTGACTCCCAACAGGGTAAGTTTGGCGCTTGCTTCTTTCCCCCCTCTACGAAAACAGGGTCAAGAATAGAAACTCAAATGGTTTGCCCTTTCGCTGGCGAAATTATATATATATACACCGGTATATATATAATTTTTGTTAAATTTTCCAAATGACATTTCAAAATAATCATTTAAACAACCTTAAATCAATATCCTCCCTTCTCTTTCGGTGGTTTATTTTACATACCATATATCCCTGCATATTTTACATGAACTAAACCAGGGGTCTGCAACCCGCGGCTCCGGAGCCGCATGTGGCTCTTTTACACCTTTACCGCGGCTCCGGGGCGGATACTAGCAAGGGGAGGAGGCGCATTGTGTGCCCCGACACTCCCCACTGTGGTGGGTGCTGTACTGGCTGTGACGTCGCATGGGGGCAGTGCGTGTGTTAGTCACGCACCGTCCCGACGTCACCTTCCCGCCCCTCCCGCCCGCTACATTGTAAGGGGCATGTACGCCTGTCACTGCATTGAAAGGGGGCATGTACGCTGGTCACTGTTTTGAAGGGGAGTGAAAAACACACACAAAGGTAACTTGTTAATTCTATGAGGAGGAGTAATTCTGAGGGGTCAAACAAAGAAATAATAAAAAATGACATAAAAGTTATTTTTATAATGAGGAGTTTTGCGGCTCCCATGTTTTTTTTCTTCGGAAACGGGTCCAAGTGGCTCTTTTTGTCTTAAAGGTTGCAGACCCCTGAACTAAACCATTCAGTATTCCATTATTGCATCCATCAAAACTTATTTACACTGTTGAATTTATCTTAATGTTACCAGCGTTTTTAAATGAACACAACCCATTTTTACCCATTGTCAGGTGGCAGTGGTGGTTGCTCGTGAGTTAGCAGGCAGGGCTCTGACCTGTCTTTTACAGGTTTTCTTTTGGTGCAAAACTATTTACAGTGCAGAACCCCAAAGTTCATGCCTGCCTCAATCCAGGAGTGGCTCTTTCCGGTTTTTACCCAAACATAAGAACTTCGTCACCCCAGCCATTTCCTTCCTTCCTTGCATTTTACCCCTCTGCGCAAGGTGGGCGACTGAAGATGCGTGTTTCCCTCCTGGCAAGGTGCGGTGCTGGGGCTCCCAGCAACACCCCCTCCAATCCCTCTTCCCCACTGGAGGCTTGGCTTTCCCCACCACAGGAAAAGGAACTGCTTCGCAAGATCTTTGGGGGCTCCCTGTATCCCAGCGGCCTCTCTGCCTCCCTTCCCTGTTCCGATGACACTCCCCTGACACCCATCTATTCAGTAAACGTTTTCCAGGCTTCTTTAAACGTGCATCCTTGCTCTCATTCTATAAATTAAGTCTGCAAGCTGCACATATTTCATCAGTTTAAGTTTCCATTCTTCTTTGGTTGGGACCTCATTTTACTTCTTTGGGCTCACAAGACACAGGCCCCGGTAGTGGCGTACATGAATAGCCTTTTTTGACACCTGGGAATTTCCCTCCGAATTATCTCCAACAAAAATAACACTGGGGTTTGTTTGTTTTTTGGAAAATGAACTTTTAAACATGTTTTTTTCCAGTTCATGATACAGTGGTACATTGGTTGTCAAATGTTATCCATTCCGGAAGTTCTGAAACATTCGACAACCGGGGCGCAATGGGCAGATGGCAAATTCTATTGAGAAAATTGAAAAATGCCTCGGAAGTAGTTCGATTTCTAAGGTGTGTTTGGAAATGGAAGCATTTACTTCGAGGTTTTTGGCATTCAAAAACCGAAATGTTCAATAACCGAGGCACCACTGTATATAATCTCCCAATACTCTCTTACCCTTTTACAAGTCCATCACATGTGATAAAATGTACCCTCAACTTCATTACATCTCCAGCACTTATTTTAGCAAGTCTGCTCAGAGTTAAATACCACCGGGAAATCATTTTCAGGTAGTTCTCCTTCAAAGAATTACATGCTGTGTACTTCAAATCGCTCTTCCACAGATTTTCCCAGAGGCTCAGATTAATTGTGGCGATCACACAGGGTCCCCGGACGTTTGACGGTCTATTGACCCTGTGCCACCACTGTGATTGCTTTCTTCGCTGCCACCAACCCGTTTCTCACGGGTTGGACACAGAGTCCAGACAGCTGACAACATTAACAAATAATCAAGTTTATTTATAGGCATGAACAAACTTATGGTTACAATTAATTTTTCTTGGCAGTTTCTTAATCTTTGTTCCTTAACTGTCTTACGCGTTTCTAACAACTTCAAACTGATTATTCCAACTATCTATCAGACTCCACCTAACAATTCCTCTCACTCACTCACAACACAACTCGACCAACCCACAGACTTAACCTCCCTCTTCCCTCTTCAACTCCCAACTCTCAACTGACTTCCACACAGCTCCACTCTCACTCCTCCTCTCTCTGGCCAATCACATCACACTCATTTAACCCTTTCCTTATGACCCACTTAGAGGCAAACGCCACAATTATTATTATTATTATTAATTATCATTTATATCCTTTCTCTATTGCCCAGTGTGTCATAGAAGCTTTAACAAGCTCATCTTTTGTTTCCCAATCTAACAACAGTTTGTACATTATAGATAATATTTTTCTTTGTTTTGTAAAAGGTCTTTTACAAATGGTGAGCTTTGGTCCAAAAAATGTTTTCCTGTCTGTTTTAAACATTTCATATAGTTGATGATATTGTAGCCAAGTCAGAACTCTACTCTCAAACTGTTAAGTTATTAAGCTGAATCTCTACCAGGGCTCCGATAGATGCTTAATTTATGTATGATTTGTAACCATTACGCTGAAGGCAGATCATAGGCACAGGCTCTCCAGGGCCCGGGCAGCCCCCACATCCCCCCAATGGAGGGGCTGGGCACCCACAACTTTTGCGCCAGGGCTATGCATGGCCCGGTGGGGGCATGAGTGCCCGATGTCACTGCACGCTGATGTCTGATGCACATGCCCCGCAGCATGCACAACCACAAGAGACCTGTCCTCCCTTCTCTGGGAATCCAGCTTAGTTCCTTTTAACCCTTGCCGAACGGAAGGCACCCAGTTCCTCCTTTTACGGAGAGCTGGGGCCCACAGAGAGAGGCTTTCTTCTGGGGAGGGTGGGAGAGTGGGACCCCCTTGGCAGGCAGAGAGAGGAGCAGCAGCTTGAACAGAGAGGAAGGGGAGGATGCTCCCTGCCTTGGGGGTCTCCCCGCCTCCCTTGAGTATCCTCCCCCTCCATCCCTGGGACCCCACTTCTCCCCCAAGGGGAAAAGAGAGGAGACCCACTGGATCCCAGGAGGGGCCACCGAGGCAGCCTTGGCAGAGGACGAAGGAGGAGGGGCTTCCGCTCTGGCGGACCTGGGACCCCGCCCCCACTTCCTGGCCTCTCTAGGATTCCAGCTCGGCTCCTGTTAACCCTTGGCAAGCCGAGGGCACAGAGGGCAGAGGAGGCTCTGAAGAGCTGCGCATGCTCCCTGCGGGCGACCCAGGGCCTTCTCTCAAAGCAGGAAGCAGGGAAAGGGGGAGGGAGGGCGGGGCAAGGACCCGTGACGAAACAGCCCTGGCCCCGCCCCTCCACTGGGAAGGCGGCGGTGGCTGCTCGGAGGGAAACGGCTTTTCCCGCCTTTTCCCAACTTCCCGCCTTTCGAAACCTGACCTTCCCCTCAGTTTTAGGCGCCAAGGAGGCCGATTCCTGACAGACCAGGCGGCAGTTTCCTTGGGCTCCCTCGTTTATCGGGGGTTTTATTTTCATTCTGCGTAATTTCTGTTTCTATCTCTTGCTTTTGGAGCTTCTATCGGCTTCTTCAGAAAGGCATTTTGCTTTATTAAAAAGTCCCTTTCACCACTGCTTTGCCTGCATTCCATCCAGTATTTAAATTCATTTATTCAAATGAATTCCGAAATAGTCCTTTATAGTGCCACCTTCTTCCTTCTCTCTCCTCCTCTGGTGTCACTGAGGAGAAATGAAGAGGCTCCTCTGCCTCAGGTGTTGCATGTGTGTCTGTCTGTCTGTGTGTGTGAGAAAACTGGGGTGCAAGAAGGGCCCAAGGATCCTGTAGTGGCCCCAGCAGAAGCCATCCACCATGGACTTGAAGCCCTGCAGGTAGTCCTTGTCCCACTTTTGGATGTGGGGCTCCTCCTCCGGGAACATGGCCATATACTTCCCTTGGTCGATGGCGAAATGGAAGAGCTCCTGCCAGTCAAAGAAGTACCTGTACAGGTAGTGAACTCGCTGCATGCCATTGCAAGAAGTGGCAATCCTGCTTCATCTGGTACAGGATGTGTTGTGTGGGGGCAGGGCAGCAATCCAACTCAGTGGTGTAACGTTGGAAAATGTCAACCACTTATAAACACCATCTCCAACTCCTCGAAAGATTCCAACAGTGTCTCCAAAAAATCTTACGCATCACTTGGGAAGAAAGGTCAACTAAAATCAGTGTACTGGAAGAAGCAAAGATCACCAGTATTGAAGCAAAGATGCTTAATTTATGTATGATTTGTAACCATTACGCTGAAGACAGACCA